GCACAGGCCATGGAGAAACTCTGATTACTGGCTTGCTCCCTGGCCCCTGCTCTGCCTGCTTTCTTATGCAACGCAGGCGCAACTGGCCAGAGGTGGCACCATCCACAGTAGGCAGGGCCCTCCCACATCACTCAACAGTCAAGAAGATGTCCCACAGGCATGGCCACAGGCCAGTCCTATGGAGACAATTCCCCAGTTGAGGCTCCCTCAACCCAGGTGTGTCAAGTTGACACTAAAGCTATGCAGCACACCATCTATTCTATATCTCCTTTCCCCAGTCTTCAGGGATCACTGTGAAAGAGGAGGTAGAAAGAATGTAAGAGCCAGAGATAGCAGACATCTACAGCAAAACAGTATTTAGAGACATGACAGAGCTGTTGCATGCATATACTCACAGCAGCTGTGACTGCATGCACAAGATCTGCACAAGATCAAGTCAGCCAAAATTCCAGTGTGGATGGGGGAGGAGCTTATGGTTGATCTTGATCTGAGAAGCTGGGGATTCATGACTGCTGGGGAGGGAGAACCCATTTTCTAGAGGGATGTGCCCCTGGGCTACCCATATACCAGTAGATGGTCCTACACTCATTCATTATAGGCAGAACTAAGTGAACTCTGTGGTTTTGTTTTTATTTATTTTTATTTTAAAAAAGAGCATGCATGAAAGGAGGGAAAAGTGGGGGGGAGGAATCAAAGGTGAGGGAATGGAAGCCAGATTTATCAAACATAATATACATATGTATGAAATTCTCAAATAATAAAAGGGAAAAAAGACTAGAAAATAGTCAAATTGTTTCTTGCATAATTACATTCAAAAACAAAGCTCAGTTTACAAGAATAAAAAAAATCTAGTATTCAGTCTGACAAAATTTAAGCATCTTCCATCTTAATCAAGGATTAAAATCAAGGATTAAGGAAAACATAATCCATAATGAGAATAATTAAAACTAAATCAAGCTAGTAAAGTACCACAATTATTAGATAAGACCTCTAAAACAGTTATAACTGCAATCCATACATTTAAAGTTAGGTAGAGTCAAGAAACAAAAAATAACCCAGGACAAAATTATGTAAACATATATCATAATGCCAAAGATGAAAAATACATTAATATAGGACGAATTAAAAAAAGGATAAGAAGAATAATAGGTTAGACACTGAAGAAAAAAAAAAGACTGCTTAAATGCAAACTTACAATAGAAGTGGAATCAAAACACAAAAGAGAAAAAAAAAAGTCCTAGGCCAGCAAGATGGCTCAGCTAGCAAAGGCATATGCCACCAAGACTGAAGATTTGAGTTCGATCCCAAGGACCCACATGAAGAAAGGTGAGTACTGAGTCCTGCAAGTTGTTCCTTGACCTCTCCATCTGCCCCATAGCACATCTACACATCACCCATAGACAAATTAATAAATGTAAATATAAACCACAAATATGCATAATTATTTTTAAATAAGTAAATACAATCAATTGGAAAACTATAAATAATTAAAATCATACAAGTCAGGTTACTTGAATACAAATTAGAAACTAGATAGATTCTTAGAAAATCTTGAAATGTTAAAAAAAATAACTCATACTAAATCATCTATTGATAAAAAAAAAAAGCACAACATACTAAAATGTGAGAGTTGAAAGCAAAGCAATATTTAGGGGGAAATTTTAGTACTGAATTCCCATATTAGAAAAGAACAGTCTCAGGCTGGGTGTGGTGGTGCATGCCTTAAATCCCAGCACTTAGGAGGCAGAGGCCAACAGATAGATCTCTGTGAGATTGAGGCCAGCCTGGTCTACATAGGCCAGCTACAAGGAGACCCTGTCTCAAAAACAAAACAAAACTTAAATAAAGAAAATAAAAAAGTAAAGAAAAGAACGGTCTCGTGTCAACAACCTCAGGTTCAACCTTACAGGGCTCAGGGACCTTTTCAGAAGAAGAGCAGAATGACTCTAAGAGCCAGGGGTAGTACATGACCACAAGGAAACAGATTTTTCCAAGCTTCTGGGAACTTGCTCATATGAACTTACAGCAATGGTGACAGCATACAAAAGACCCATGCAAACTCAATCAGATGAAGCACAGCATAGTGCTGGGAAAATCGGCAGCAGCAAGCTCCAACCTTAGCTGAGAAACTATTAGCAGCTGACCACTGCTGGGTGAGGGAGAGTTGGTCTTCTTTAAAGGAGTGATGCTAGATATGTCAACCAGGTTCCAGTGGATAAACACATCGAGGGACATCTGGGTACACAAACTTAACTTAATAGGCCTTAACATATATGACAGAATGCATGAAATCTTGTGGGTGGGCTATGGGGGGAAACAGATAGGGGAGGGGTCTAAATATGATTAAGATGCATTATATGATATGCACAAAAATTCAATGAAAATTACACACTGAAAAAAAGGAAAAAAAAAATGGGCTGATGAGATGGCTCAGCAGGTAAAGGCACCTGCCACCAAACATGCTGACCTGAGTTTGATCTCCAGAAGCACATGGCGCAAACAGAGCTGACTCCTGCAAGGTGTTCTTTGGTCTCCAGAAGAACATACACGCGCCTCCCCAACACACACACACACACACACACACACACAATTACATATGTACATAAACAAACTAAAAAGATACGAGCTAATTTAAAAAAGAGCAATAGGATAATAATCAAACAAAGAAAAATCAATGAATTAGAAAGCACAGCAATCAATGCAACCCAGCGGGTTGTTAGAGAAGATACATAAAATTGTTACCTACTAGACATAATGATCTGGAAAAGAAACAAAAATATAAAAAATGAATTAACAGAAACAAAATAGCAGAGAGAATTTCAAGTCTATAACTTTTTGCCTGATAAATGTGTCAGAAAGTTCACTCAATGAGAATTAAGAAAAACAAAAATAAAACCTGAATATATATATAACAATTTTCCTAATTTTGGAATATTTTAACATATATGTTGCAATATCTTGGGGATATCGAGTCTAAACAGAAAATGTATCTATTTCAGATACAACTTATTCTTTTGCCTGATATTTTTAGTTCTGATATGTTATGAATATAACTCATAACATGGGGTCAGGTGTAGCATTTTTCACTTCTGGCATCTTGGAGATGCTCAAGTTTCAGATTCTCAAACATTTCATACCTCAGAATTCTAGATGAGAGATGCTCAACCTGCAGTACCTTTGGGAGAGGATGGTACAGTGGCTGGTAGGAAATACAGAGGATGCTGTCGTGGTGGTCATGTTACTACTACAGGGTGCATTAACGAGAGTGCTCAGTTTATAAAAATCCCCAAGTTGTATGTACAGTTCTGTATGTACATATATATATATTGTATTTTACACATAGTATAAGCTATCTAACTGCAACTACTATATGATTTTTAAAAGCTTAATATAAACTGTCACAAAGTGATAATATAGCTTAATTAATGGACAGAGGAATAAGAAGAGAAATTATTAGAAAATAAGGATTAGGGACTGAAGAGACGGCTCAGTGCTTAAGAGCATGTGCTGATCTTGCAGAGGACCTGGACTCAGTTCCCAGTACCCATATCAAGTGCCTCAATACTGCCTGTATCTCTAGTTCCAGGTGATCTGATAACCTCATTTGGCCTTCATGGGCACTGCATCCATGTGGTGCACATACAAACATGCAGGCACATACATACACACAAATAACATAAATAAAATTTTATAAAAAGAGAAATGAAGAATTAAAAAGGAAGGAGAAGAATGGCAGAATGTGGAAGCAGACAGGGGACAGTGTTTATTATTGTCTAAAGATCAAGCATATCATTTAAGTATGTAAAGCAATAACTAACCAGCTAAAAGGGAAAGGAAAAATTATCCTAGGGAAAGAAAATTGCAAATATAAAGTTGAAAAACTGTTTATCTAACAAACCTTGTAGAACTACTCTCTTTCAAACTTAACATTAAAATTAAAACAAACAAGCAGAGGCTGGAGAGATGTCTCAGGGGTTAGAAACACTTCCGTGGTTTGGAACACTTGTTGATCTTACAGAGGACCTGGAGTTCAGTTCCCAGCACCCACAGGGCAGCTAAAAACCATCCATGACTCCAGTTCCAGGGCATCTGATGCCCTCTTCGTGTCTCACCAGACATTGTATACATGGGTGCATTTACATATACACAGGCAAAACACACATATAAAATAAAAATAAATAAATAAAATTTAAAACAAAATAATTTAAGGGAGAATTAAAACTCCAACATGTCACCAATATGAAGCAGGGCCTTCATCAATCCAGCTCCTGGTTATTTTTTTGCTACTCTCTATCATATTCTGCGAGAGTGAGCATTAACTCTTCACCAAGACAGTTACCTAAGCACAAGGTATTTGACAACAGTCTTGATTAGCCCATCTGTCAGTAGTAAAGAGCTATAGAAGACACTTTTAGCAGTATTTAAGTATATAAACTGATTAACTCTCAGAAATTTTTAGGATCGCTAAAAATAGGAAAAGAAATTCAACCTTTCTTCCCTCCTATTCCCTAATGAAAAACAAAACTTTCATGCTTAGAAAGTTATAGTATGTCATGATTTAAATAAAATGAATCGTTCAATAAGCATTTAAACTTATGAATGACAATGTATAAACCACTAGCAAATAACTAGCTATAGTATAAAACTATGAATTCAAACATTCCTAAGTGTAGTTTAAAAATAGGTATAACTTTTAAACTCAAGACACACACAATTAAAACACTAGTGTTGTCAAGTTAAGGTGGTTCTAATACATAAAAATTAAGCCAAAGATCATATAATAACATTATCTGAAATATGCTCAGTTATCAATTTCTAAATAAATCTGATTTATTTTTAACTGACATCTTAATTATCCATATTTACATCTGGAATATAACAACTTTTCTCTCTTTTAACAATCTGAGACAAACAAAATATTATGATTATACATTAGCTTTGCCTCCTCTGTTTCTAGAGCTGAAATGTCATGTCAATTACTTAATAAGATTTAAATTTACCTTGTTTAATCTGTCCTTGCACAATATTACTGGAAGTTGGAGGGGAACCCTTTGCCTTAGAAAGATCTGGGGTGCCTGGTTTTGGTGGCCTTTAAAAAGAAAAAGAGGAAAAAAAAAAAAAATATATATATATATATACATACATATATTTACAATTTCCTAATTCTAGAACTATTTAAAATATTTTCTACATTCTAATGGAACACAAAGAAATATACACACATTTTCAACTTACATTTTTCATTTTCAATGAAAAAAATGTTCATTTTAAAAGTTGTATACTTACATTGTCCATTTCAAATTTTGGTAAGATAATTACATAGCTATCAAGTAGAAAATAAAATTTTTATATTTAGCCCAAGAAATATTTATGAGCACTCCAATGAATTACAACTGACAGATAAAAATCATTAGCCATCTCTTCTTCAATATTAGCACGCTGGTATTTCAATTACCCCATTATATTAGCTAAATAAATTCATGGAACAATATTTAAGTACTCAACCACAATTAATATATGTATCATATATATCAGTAAAGTATAAAGAAATCTTGGACCCTCGAGACAGACTGTCTCTGCTTGAATTCTGGCTCTACTACCTTCTATATAAAATTATCTATTTTACAGGGTTAAGGATATTGAGTTGCTTTAAAATTAATTATTTATTTTTACATTATGTATATGAGTGTTTTGCCTCATGTATGTATGTGCACCTGTATGTGTGTGAAGTCCACAGAGACCACAAGAGGGAGTCAGATCCCTTGGAGCTGGAGTAATGGATGGTTGTTAGTCACTATGAGGGTGCTAGGAGCCAAACCCTGGTCCTCTGCAAAAGCAGCCAATGCTTTTAAGGACTGAGACATCTACCCAGCCCCAGGTACTGGGTTTTTATAAAGCATGACAACAAATCTTGATACAAAGTAAGTGCTATCTAAGTATTTGTTAGGTTAAAAGTAAATGTGATATGATCAACTTTCAAGAGAGCACAATAAAAGTTATCTTCATAACTTTGGGAAAATGGCAAATTGCATCCAAGCTAAGTATTCTAAAAACATTAAAATATCACTCTGCATTTTTTTATTTTTTTATTATTTATTTATTTTAGATAGAGTCTCACTATGTAGCCCCAGATGGCCTGGAACTCCCTATCTTGACCATCGCAAGCTGACCTGGATCTCACAGGGTTGTATCTGCCTGCACCTGTCTCCCTAGTGCTAGGAGTAAAGGCATGTGCCACTGTGCCAGGCTTAACTACTGCAAATTTGACTATATTGCCAAATTCCAAAGCCAATCATTGAATATATCATTCATTCATTCCATATTAATTATGAGAAACATTTTGACCAAATACAGATTTTGAACTGAATGTCAATTCAAGCTTCCATCAGTTTTCAGATTTCACACACACACACACACACACACACACAGGCTTTTTTGAGACAGCGTCTCCCTGTAGCCATATCTGGTCTGAAACTCACTATGCAGACCAGGTTGGCCTTGAACTCACAGAGATACTCCTGCCTCTGCTGGGATTAAAGGCATGTGCCATCACAGCCAGCACTCAGATAATATTTACTCAAGTTAGCCCAACTCTAACATTCTTCTTTTTAAATAGCCGCTAAGTATATCTACAGGTGTACAATATTGATATAATTCTTAAGACTTATTTTACTTTATAATTATGTGTAACTGTGTGTATCTTTGTGTGGGTATATGTACATGTGTGTAGGTTCCCATGGAGTCCAGAACAGGGGGTGCCGGATCCCCTGAAAGTGGAGTTACAAGCAGTTGTGAGCTGCCTTAAATGGGTGCTGGGAACCAATCTCTGGTCCTCTGCAAGAGCAATAAATGTTCATAATTGCAGAGCGATCTCCTGCCCCCATTGATATAATTTCATTATGTTTTCAACTAGGCATTTTGGAGATGTGTATTTTACAATTTTATAGTGAAATGCTGATGTGACACTAAAATGATGAAAGTGTACAAAACCAAAAACAAGTAAAAGAGCAATCAACAATAAGGAAAACAGAGTAAGGTTCTTTTTTCCCAGCTTTGAAAATTAAGAATAAAATTAAACTATCATGGTCACACCTGGTTGGGCCCTTCTTCATATGATCACCAATGAAAGTTGCATTGGTCATACTCATTAAAGTATTTGCCAAAGATATGATAGACAGGAGATGTTGGGTGGTGACTGCTCGAGACACTCCGTATGTCCCCTTTCCTACTCCCTCAGCTGTTGGCAGCTTCCTTCCTAGTTCTGCTTTCCCAGGTGGCAGTTTACCAGCAGCCTGATTATAACCAGGAAGCATCAATGACATATGACCTCCTCTGGATAAGAGACCAAAGGACACTGTGCAGTGTGGTTTCAGCATTCCCAGGCGATCGAGACAAACTTCATCTAGAACTTCATTCAAGCCCCAGGCGTGAAGGCAGGACATGAATAATTTCGCAGTGTCCATAGTGAGATTATATTCTAGTAAGGTCAGTGGCTTGGATTTGCTAGCCCGGTATTCAGGATCGCTTTCTTCCCTCCTCTGCCTCATTGTCTCCTCATCTTCCTCTTCCTCATCAAGGAGGTGTTCCTTAATGTTCTCTTTGATAGTTTCCTTCACTTGTTGGAAGAGAACTGCCGCTCGTTTTCCAGTTAGAAAAGAGCCCCCTTTGTCTGAACTGCCAGATGCTTTCTGCAGATTCTCTGGGGAAATAAGTGCAGTATTCGGCCTAGAGGCTTCCTCAGTCAGGAGTTGAATAATCAGAGCTTCCACATCAAAGAAAAGCACATGGACGTCTGGGTCTGTTAGGTTTGTCTTTATTGCTTGAACCATCAGCGAGTTATGAGAATATTTAGGCAAATTCCCCTGTAACAAATAGTTTTAAAAGATGGTTACAGTTAAAAGTGTTTCATTTCAACATTCATTAATGAACAACAAATAGCTGAATGAAATAAAATGCATATTAAGTCATTGTCTTAAGGCTGTAGATCATTAAAAGTATCTTTGCCAATCAGCAGCATTGTAAAAGATACATGCTTACACAATTAGGAGAACGTCATACTAAAACAGTCAAAAAACATGTCAATTAATTAAAAACCCAGAATATATTAATAAAAGCTTATTACTAAAGTACGGCATCTCTTTACACTTTAAAATTGGTTTCAATGACTTGTGAGCAGACTCTGGCTCTGAATGAACTACTGCTCTATCTGATGAATGATCTGTTGAAGACAGCTGCATATCCTTAAGTCACACCATCAAATCCTTCCTTTGACATTTACCTTCAGCCTTTCCTCATTACCAAATTCCCTTCATGAAGACATGTTCAAGCCTTTGTGTATGTATATGTGTTTTCCTTTCAAAAACATTTTTATTAATACTTTGAGAAGTTCATACAAGTATTTTGGTCATATTTGCCCCTGCTCCAACTCCTCTCAGATCCACCTCCACCTCCCTACCCACCCACCTTCACGTTCTCCCTCCCCTCATTGAGTCCCATATGTGTTGTCCAAATACTCTTGGATATGGAACCTGTCCTCGACTATGCTCACACAAGGGGTCACACCCAAGTTCTAGCCAGACAAAATCCCAGCATGGAACGAGGAAGGTGGGCACAAGGTCCCATCCCTAGTTCAGGAGCTATTTGGTAGCTGCTCAGAGAGGATTAGTCAGTTTTCAGGTTTTTGTTTTTTTTTTTTCAGATCCATAAAGCATCGTGACCAGAGCCCTTCTTGTTTCTCTCATCTCTTCCTGCTGTCCCCTTGAGCCAAATTTACTGAAAGCAGTAGATTAATCAGATGGCAGCTCATCAGTCCTTCTCCTCCACAATCTTTGCTGTATCCGATGTTGCTTTTGCTGAGACAGAGTGTAAAGAAAAAGCAAGAATAAAAAGACAGCTAACAGCACACCGTGTACCTCTGATAGCCTTCCAATGCTCACCCCTCCACCACCACCAGCCAGTGATAACTTCTTCCACCAACAGACCCATGGCCTACACACAGCTGGCTCCTCACTCTGGCCAGGCACTGAAGAAATTGTAGTCAGATTTCCAATCATATTTGGATGTCCTGTAGCACCTCAAATTCACCAAGTGCTCACCTCCTACCTCCCACTAAACCTTTTGTATCTCCAGAATCATCAGGAGTCACAGAAATTCAGATCTTTCTTCATCTTTGCCCTAAAAGGCGGATTTCACTAGGCCTCGGTTCACCTTCCTCCAGCCACCTCCACAGAGTCACAGCCTCCTTCTGAAGCACAAATCCAATCCTTCACTTCTGCCAAGACATTTCCACAATGGATTGTTAAAAGACAGAAAACACAAAATTCTAAAAACTAAATCAGAATCCATCCATGCTTGAATTTAAAATCTCTGCTGAAAAAAAAAAAAAAAAAAAAAAAAAAAAGATTAAAAGGCCAAGTAAAGAACAGGAATAAAGCCAGGTATAGTGGTGTTTCCTTTAATCCCAGCACTTGGGAAGCAGAGGCAGGTGGATCTCTGTGAGATCGAGGCCAGCCTGGTCTACATAGTGAGTTCCAGGCCAGCTGGGGCTACAGGGAGACCCTGTCTCAAAAGACACTGCCTCCAAAAAAAGAAAAAGGAAAGAAATAGGAATAAAACGTGCCATAAATGAACTGATAATTATAATCAACATGAATTTTTTTTCTTTTGCTTTAGGGTGTGTATGTGTGTGTTTGTGGGTTCATGTCCCCATGTGCCCCTATGTGCATGTATAGAGGCCAGGGGTGGACATCAGGTGTCTTCTGTCACTCTCCACCTTCTTTTTTTTTTTCAATTTTTACAAAAACTTTATTGAGAATTTCATACATGTATATAAGGTGTTTTGATCAAATCCATGCCCACTGCTTCCCCTTTTAAGGATTAGATACAAGCTCCCAAATACTTTTGACATTTTTGGCCTTGGAACAGAGTATGCTAACAAGCCCAAGGACATTTTGACTTTTAGCCAAGAAACTGGCTACATTTCTTTGGGGTCTTTTTACTCTAACTGCCTAGCCAATTCCTACCTCTTAGTCTTATCACACCATCCTCTGAAGGGGTTACCCAAATTGCCAATAGGGAACAGGGACACCAACTGCTCTGGCTTCTTCCGTGCTAAACACGGATGCAGGGTGAGGCAATTCGAGTACCCCTTCAGTGGGTCTATCTAAAAGACTCCCAAATTGCATAACGCTTGTCTCTAAGGGAAGAAGAAAGTCCTTGAATCATGAATAGGAGATGTGAAGGAGAAGTAAAGGCAAGAGTAATTAGCATTACAAGTTCTAGACAGGGAGCTAGAAAAAAAGTCAGAACAGGGCAATTTTCAAACGTTCATATGAGAGTCCATTGGAGTTCCTTGACAAGGGCTTCCAAAAGCATCCCTCTACTGGGTTCTTACTCATTTCCCTTTTGTCTTCCAAGGCTGGACTAGTTGGCTGGGAAGAGTGGCTGGATGCTCAGGTGAGGGTCCAGTGACCCTGCTGGCACATCTTTAATGAATGAGTACAATCGTCAGCAAGCCCAACTGTGACTATGTTTAGCTATCAGGCTCAGCCAAAGTCGTGATTATGGTAGTTATTTCATGCAGAAGGGACTGCTGTATAGCATCTTCTTATTAAAAGGACTACCATGTGGAGGCAGGATCCGGGGACTGTCAGGCTGTCCCCTGGATTCTCAGGCCCTCTGGTAGTTGTAGGCCAGAGAGAGGCCAGAACCTGGCACTCTCTGGCAGTCTGCTAAGGTCCCAGCCATTACCCCAATGGAGGTCTGAACCCACCCTCTCAGGCTGTCTCTCTCCACCTTATTTTCAAACAGGGTCTCTCACTAAACCTGACTGGCCAGTGAGCCTCCAGTATTCCCCTATCTCCATCTGCCAGTGCTACAATTACAGGGCACATGCTCATATACTCAGCATCTTCTTTTCCTTTAATTGTTAAATTATATTGACCGTGTGTGTGTGTGTGTTTTATGGGCTCATGTGTAGAGGTCACAGGAAAACCTGCAAGAGTTGGTTCTCTCCTCTCACCATATGGTGAGATTGAACTTAGGTCATCAGCCTTGGCAGCAAGCATCTTTCTCTGCTGAGACATCTTGCTGGCCCACACTCAGATTTTTATGGGAGTGCTGGGGATCCAAGCACTTTACCCACTGAGCCATGTCCCAGCCCTTGTTTTTGTTTTTATTTTTTGTTTCTCTCTCTCTCTCTCTCTCTCTCTCTCTCTCTCTCTCTCTCTCTCTCTCTCTCTCTCTTTCTTTTTCCTTCCTTCTCTTTCTTTTCTCTTTCTCCTCCTTTTTTTTTTTTTTTCTCTCTCTCTCCCCCGCTTCTCTCTCTTGTTTGTTTTTGTTTTTTTTTTTTGTCTCTCTCTCTCTCTCTCTCTCTCTCTCTCTCTCTCTCTCTCTCTCTCTCTCTCTCTCTCTATCTATCTCTTTCTCCCCTCTTCTCTCTCTTCTCTCTCCTCCCTTTCTTTATTGTGACACTGTCTCCCTGTAGCCTCAGCTGGACTGGAATTCGTTATATAGACCAAGCTGGCCTCCATCTAACAGGGATCCAGCTGTCTCTTCTACCTGAGTAAAGAAATTAAAGGTGTGCCCCACCATGCCCAGCTCCAGCCCTTGTTTTTTTCAGAAGAGTTGTCTCACTGTACCCCAGGCTGGCCTTGAATTCACAACAATCCTTCCCAAAACCTCCCAAGTACTGAAACTACAGATGTGAACCTCCATGCCCAGTTTTACGTATTTCTTTTTTTCTTCTTTCAGAAAAATAATACTTTTATTGATTCTTTGAAAATTTAATACAATGTATTGTGGTCATATTCAGACCCCCTCCCAAGTATTTCTTAATTCAATAAGAAAAATACTAATAGAATACTGAAAGGGAAAAAGGAAAAAAAAACTGTAAAGGTCAAGGACATGATTACAGTCCCAACACTGGGAGAAGCAAAAGACTGTGAGCTCAAGGCCAGCCTAGACTACACAGCTACACAGCTAGAAGAAAAGAAAGGAGGGACAGATGGTTGGAAGGAAGGGAAAGGGTGAGAGGAAGGGCAGCAGCACTTCCAGAAGAAATACAGTCAATAAACAGGGAAAACCTGTTCAAACTAATTCTCTAAGACAGTTAAAATAACCACAAAACAGCACTTATGAAATCAGCAGACATTAAACAGTAAAAACAGTATGGTGAACATCACCTACCACAGGCATGAATTTAAATACCAGTCTTTGGAAATGTGGCAAACTATCTCATGATTTCATGAGGATGGTACTGTTTGATGTGTTGTACTTATTTCTAGGATCCTACACTAAAACAGTCAGAAACACAGATGAGGATTTTTATATAAATAGTTCAGTGAAGCAGCAATCATTACTTTAAATAGGAACTAACTTAAATAAATAATAGAAAAATAATGGCTACATAAGAGAACATATGCCAAAATACATATTATTTCTGAGCATATTTAACTACATGGAAAAATGCTCCTGTTCTCATTTTAAGTGAGATAAAACTATACATACACACACACACACACACACACACACACACACACACACAGGCATTCAAATAAGTGAACTTGGTACTATACTCTGTGTGTGTGTGTGTGTGTGTGTGTGTGTGTGTGTGTGTGTGTGTGTGATGGGCATATACTTGCCAGGGTGCAGGTATGCATACATATCTAGTGTGGAAAGATAAACTAGAAAGAAATATGATGCCAGAATGTTAATAGTAATTTTTATGATGGAATTATAGAACATTTTGTTCATCTTTTATATATTTAAGTTTATGTAATCAATATATATGATTTTTCATAACTACAAAATAAAGCTCCAGAATAAAACACAAACTCCTTCAGCCCTAAACTCAAGTTCCATTACAGTCTGCTAAAACTCTGTACAGCTTTAACAAACAGGCTCTTGGACTCTATCTCTGATCCCTCACATACATATCCTTTTGGTTATCCTTTTACCCAAATCTTTCTTTATTCTCCTTCAAATCTTTCTCTTCCACAATGGCATTAATTCTGTCACTTACAATGTATATGTACATCAAATCACAGTGTATACCTTAAATATATATATGTTTTGTCAACTGTATCTCATTAAAGTTAAGATGAGGACTCTAATTCTCCCAAGGACAAGGCATCCAGCTCCCTAACATTTTATATCTACCATGTGTCACATACTTGTATGTCTTTATAAATTATATAGTTCTTGTTTTAATTACTTATACTTCCCTGCATTCTATAGGGTAGTTTCAAAAGCAGGACAAAGCTATGTCTTACTGATCCTGTGTAACTTTAACTATCACTGTGCCTAGTAGAATGAACAAAGAACATTATAAAATTCTTTTAAAAATTATTCAAATTGCTAAACAATTCTCCTGTCATAAAACTGCAATGAAGCCCTTTAACTGGTCTCTTTTCTGTCTCCATTTTCATGCCATCCAACTAAGTCTCTTTCTGACTTCAGAAGCATCCACAGCATTTTACAAGTCAAGGATAAAATCTAGATTTCTTTGCAAAGCACAAGACATCTTCCAGAAGGCACTGTTGCTTATGCCTCCAGTTTCACCTCTAGTCACCACTCCTAGTAAATTCTAATGCCACATCACTTAGCCTTTCTCAAATCATTTCAAACACTTGGACCTTTGTATGTTTAGACTAGGACCACACTCCTTCTCCAGTCTCCCAGTATCCATCCTTCAAGAAATATCTCAAGTTTCTCACCTTCCAAATATTAGTCACAGAAGTCTTCAAGCAGATGTTATCACTACCTCCTTTACATAAACTTCTCTGAATTGAATGACGTTTAAAGGTGAACTGGGTTCCAATCATGGAACTCAAACCTAACAAGTAATGACAGGACCTAACAATGTGATGTGTGTTGCCCTACTACTACAAAAATAGCAACTCCACCTCAGGTGACCAGGGAGCTCCTCACAAAGGACATAACTTGAGTGAGGAAAGAACACTCACGGCAGAAAGAAAAAAGCAAAATGTGGAAAAGGACAATGGGAGGCACTCATAGGATAGATACTGAAGAACCCACAGATGCTCAAGATGTAGACTACAGGGAATGGGTCACTGAGAGCACATGGAAACACGCTGAGGCTTTTCAACTTGATCCTGCAAGCCAGAGCCACTAAACCAGTACTTTAGTCAGAATCATCAGGAGTGTTTTGTGAAATACAGCTCCTGGGCCTGGTATCAGATCAGATCAAATCTAGTATAACTAGAAGTCTGAGAGGATCTGTTTAATGAGTAAGCAGATAACTTTATGCAGTAATGTCTGAGAACAATTATTCAAATGAGGGAAGTAACATAATCAAATTTAACTATATAAACATTTACCTTGA